ACATATTTACTATTATATATTTATATCAACAATTGTGGGAAGCAAATAATAACAATAAAAATCAAATCTTACGGCGTGCTTACAAAATGTGCGAAAATTATCTCAAAATTTAGCTTTCCACTTCTGCAACACATTAAAATAAATAAAGAAGAAATATTATTGCTATAATTAAAATTCAATTCGGTAGATTAATTGATTTTTAATTGACTTTAAGTAGATGCGAGGACGTGCACAATGGCCTGAACCTTCAAATGCCATGGGAAAATATCTGCAAATTTAGAGCAGCAGCTGATGGGTCGACTATATGTACATATACACCACCAAAGAGAGTGAGAGAGAGAGACACATGGAGAGAGGGAGAGGCAGAGCTCAAGGCGAGCACAATTGTAAACTGCAGTCAATCAAATAAAAATTACATGCATATTAGATGACTCAGCGAATGGGCAATGGCAAGAGCCAAGCATCAAAGTTAACTTATTCGCTGAACATGGCGCTCAATGAACTTCAACATCGATGCGAACAACTTTGGCCCAGCAGCACTCGAATGAGTTGGCTAAAATAGAACAGCAACAACAATAACAACAACAGCTAACGAACAACAATAACAAAACAAAAGCACTCACATACATTAAATAGTGCATGAAACTCTTTCGCTTAATCACCATGAATGGAGCTGCTGCAGGAGACGGCAACAGGGGCAGAGGCAGGGGCAGGGGCAATAGCAGGGGCAAAGACTGGGGCTAACACACACTGTTGGCAGTTTATTAACGCACATTTTGTAATTGAAGCGCTGAGTTGATCGAAATTATGCCACTTGCCGAATGCTAATCACAGGTGCAAAAGGTATCAACAATAATTGATTTTGAATGCCGGAGGAGCTCAGAGAGCTTCAGCATGCATAGAGCCAGCAAAAGGTAGATTTCTCTCGAACACAAACTGAAGAATGTAAGAATAGACTCAACTGCAAATAAATGAGGCTTTTATGTTTTATAATTTCAATATATAAAAAAATTATTAGATATTTTGAAAAAATATAAAATTTCTACATTAAAATAAACAAGAAAGCTAAACCAGAAAATCAGGCTTGGCTTGAAACAATAAAATATTTAATTTCATTTCAATAAAATCATTCTGAACAAGGCTTAGTATCCAATTAAAGGATGAAGAGACATCCACAATCTTTTTAATGATCAAATTTTTTTTTTTTTTAATTTGTAATCTCTCGGGCTGTAAATTTAACTGAATTTATTTCAAAATTAACTATACTTTAATGATTTTTATGGCTTGAAATAAGATCTGAACGCAGAGCTTAAGTTGATAATAAGGCTTCAAACTATAAAATGGTCTGAATCAAAGATACAGCAGAGATTTATTTAAATACATGTTACAAATTTTAAGATACAGGGAGGCGTACTGACAGACGAAGATCCTTCTATTTATTATTGGACTGCAAAAAAAAAAAAAAAACTAAAGACAGACAGAAACGACACATTTAAATTCATATAGAATTTAGCCGGGACCGCAAATAAGAGTTATGCATTTAAAAAACTTGAGGGTCAAAAGAACTCCCAAGAAGAGAGAGGAAATCACACATAAGGATTTCTGTTATGGCGAATTCAAAAAAAGGATAAACTTTTATTTGTAATTTTTTATTAACAAATTATATTTAATTATTAAGGTTGATGTTTTTGATAAAAATCAAAAATAATTATTACAGAACAATTTTTATATAAAAATCAAATCATAACTCTTTTTATCAAAAAAATCAAGCTTAATAATTAAATATATTTTTTTTTAATTTATCAAAAAATAATAATTATTTTTTAATTTTTTGCTATAAAAATTATAATCGTTACGGTCCCTGGAATTTAGCGTAAATAAATTTATAAATTCAGCTTGGAGATATACCAGAAACATTGAACTAATAGACCATTAATAAAAAAATAAATAAAATTACTTCAAACATTCATAGAATTGAATGGAATATAATTTTGTATTGAATAGTTATACCTATATTATATTTGCATATTTTTTGGATATGCAAATCAATATAATTTAAAAAAACAGAATTTTTCGTCGAGTAGCTATTTATAAAAACATATATGTTAGATCCTTAGATCAAGTAAGAAATTCATAAGGAAATTAAGCGCTTCACTACAAAGTTTTTGAAGAACTCTCATCTAAATAGTTTATAAACTTTCACTACGAAATAATTCACAAGCATAAATTCATAAATTGTTACTCCAAATCTTTGCATCGTTGCAGTCGTTTTTTGGCCGCACCTACAACAACATCGCAGCGATCGCCGGCTGCAAGCACAACGGGGACTGTGTCATCAACAAGAAGAATCGCACGGCTTGCAAGGCCTGCCGGCTGCGCAAGTGCCTGCTGGTGGGCATGTCGAAGAGCGGTTCCCGTTATGGCCGCCGCTCCAATTGGTTCAAGATACACTGCCTGCTGCAGGAGCAGCAGGGCAGCGGCGCGGCCATGGGCGCAGCCAGCGTGAGCAACGCGAATCTGAATCAGCTGGCGCGACTGCAGCAGGCGAGCAACCAGGCGCGACAAACCTACCAGGACAAAACGAATCCCTGCATCAAGTCGGCCACGGCAGCCACCTCGCCCACCATCGCACTGCAGACGGCGGCGGCAGCAGCGGCGGCAGCGGCAGCGGTATCTACTGCCTCGACGCCTGCGCCCAGTTTGCCTGGATTTCTGCAAGCAGCCAAGTATCTGAACGAGCAGCAGCAGCAACAGCAGCAGCAGCAGCAGCATCGCCAGCTGAAGCTCGAGTCCCGCCTCAGCAATACGCCCAGCGATTCGGGCGCCTCCTCGGCCGGAGATCCCACGGACGACGGCACCAGCGTGCTGAGCGCCACGACGAACAGCATTAGGAAGGCGGTGCGACAAAGCAGCTCCGCATATGCGGGCAGCTCCGAGGYGGACATTGCGGAGCAGCAGCAGCGACGCCACAAGGAGCTGCTGGATATCTTTCGCAGCCACTCGGAGCCGCTGTACAGCTCCTTTACGCCGTTCACCCTGCCGCCAGCTTTGATGGCCAGCAGTTTGCCGCCGTTGCCCATCTTCAAGGAGCAATTCAAATCGGAGCTGCTATTTCCGTTCCCGACRAGCAGTCCGGCGGAGGAGGAGGAGCCCATGGATTTATCGCTTCGCTCACGAACGGATGCTGCAAGTCCGACGGCAAACAGCTCCAATAGCCCACTCAGTGAATCAGCCAACCTGCCCTCGGACTCGCCCGCCACCTTTGTACGCAAGCCCACGCCCCTCGACCTGACCCTGGTCCGCTCGCAAACGCTAACGGGATAGGGCCACGGCAGGAAGCCATCCCACTTGGGTATTAGCAAACGATTCGATATTGGTGCCAGTGAAAGTATGTACAAATAAATTGTTTTTAGCTCAATTACAGCATTTAAGCGATTCGAAATACTCTCGTATACACACACACACACACTCTAATATACGCATATACAAACATATATATAAATATTAAAATAATGTTTAGCCAAATTTATAATCGACTGTCATTTATCTGTGTGTTTTTATTTAATTTATGTTTAGCACGTGTATTATACATAAGTCATTTATAATTTGCATGTTGTTTTTCCCTTCTGTTTGTTTTCTTAATTTTAAATAATTTATTTCGTAGACACATAAGCTAAGCGAACCCAATGTAAAATGCAGCAAACAAATAATAAAAACGAAAACAATTTTGAAGAATTTTATATGCCTAACAGAATCTCCAAAAGTGATCCGTAAATATTTAAAATCTTTCAATTCAGTCGAAAGTTTCGACGTCAACTGGAATGCTTTTTCTTGGTCAGGCCTGGGCCGAGCTGCCTCCATCGAATTGACACATGAGCAGACTTAACATGACCATCTACAGCAAATTGTTAAATATATTTGCGATTCAACTGTCACATGACCCGTGCTTATGTGTATATCCATCACAATCCCTGGAAGACAGCCAACAGAGAGCCGTACGCTCGTATATAGTGGATGCCGTATTCATTACGCAAGCCGGCTGACATATTTCCAAATGTCAACTATGTGGATATTGACTAAATAAATGTAATTATGACAATGCAGCCGATATATGACAACAAATGCAGCAACAACAACAGGCAGGCAAGAGAAAAGTAAAATACAAATAAATATAGCTCGAATGAATATGAATGAATATATATTTATGAATATATATTCAATACATATTTATATTTATTTTTCCATATATTTCTACATCATAAAGGAATTATTGGCAAAGCAAAATTTAATTGAAACATTTGCATATCTTCCAGTTGAAATCACTTCGTCCCCTAAAATCAAAAGACTTAGGAAACGAACTGAAAGTGAAATCTTTAAAAGCTAATGAATGCGTAGAGTTAAGTATGTATTTATACATGTTTCCCATTGGCTAAGCCCCAAGTGAAAACTCACACATACACACACACACACACACACACACACACACACATCTAGCAGACAAATTTGAGCATTCACACATTCAATTATTTGCTTGTTTTTGTCTATGTGAAAACACGCCCCCTGAGAGTAACGACAAAGTGAGATACCAAAAGCCGAACATAATCCACGACCACACGCTATATTTGAAGCAAGCAATAGAAACAGTAACAACAACAACAATAACAACAACAACAGTGCCTGCAAATATATTAATACATACGTACTTAGAGTCCGTATGGCAGCATCTCACATAGATGCCTTTAAAATGCATTTATGCATTCAGGTAAAACGAATGTGATTGGGCGTGAGTAAGTATTTAAGTGTGTGTGCATGTGTGTTAGTGTGTGAGTTTTCTTGTATGTGTTGTGAAGCAGCCTGTTGAAGGTAGTTTCGCATTAATTTTATTGCAGTTATTTTGCAAATAATTACAATACAAAATATTCAAAATAAAAATTGATAATAAGTAGAAGTGAAGAACAAAAAGTAAGAATAATACAAATTAAGAATAATCATCAATAATGAAGAGGATCATAATATCAGATAATACATTTAACGCGTCCTATTTTGTAGTTCATGGCTTTCGATTCCGACAGATTTGATTGCATTTGCCTGTGTCTCACTCGCATGCTTCTTGTAAGTTTTCGTAATCCAGCTCAGTTTTCTTTGCCAAGTGGTTTTCGAGGCCAATTCCCTCTTACGCACACACACACACACAATCACATATATATATGCATCTAAGTACACATGTATGTAGGTATGTCCGTGAATGCTTATATGACTCAGTAGATCGCGGTCTGTGCGCGTGCGGCGCAGACAAGCTGAGATGGATTGCCGTCAGAGAAGGCTGGACGCCCAAACGGTCGGACAATCGGACGGTATGACTCCATGAGCCAGTTTCTAGTTTCAAAGATTCAAGGAGGAGGCTCCGCTCGAGCCGAGGCGTGCTTAAAATTCAATTGAATATTGAATTATTGCATTGAATTTCATTGTTTGTAAATGCTGGGGCCAGCTTTTATTGTAAACTGATTTCTTTTTCAGCCATAGATTTATTTATTTATTTCGTTTTTATTGTACGCTCGAAGTTCAACAGTCGTTAATCGCAACAAAATATATTTGTATTGTATTACATAAGTAGATCCCCGTTTTGGGTGGTCTACTTTATATAGATGTTAGACTACTCGAATAAAAAAGAAAACGTCTACAGGATCATACAAAATCAAAAGACAAATGTTGTCAAATAAGTCATATGTTGACATACATTTGTTTTATGTATTTGTCAGATCCCTATTTAGTTGTATGTGGACTCTCATATCTTTCGTTTCCCATCCCAGGTCGGTGAGCACCGGCAAAACGCCTTCCACATTGCGCCAGAGAAATCGCTTAAAGATCAACAACAAAACGCTGTAACAAGAGTTCAGAGTTGTCAATAAAAATTAATTGCAATTTTATTGCCACAGCACGCTGCTCCTTGCATACAAAGTATACAGAAACCTCAGTGAAGAGTAGTCAAAGGGTATTATCGATTAGAAGTCAGCTTCGTTAAGCATAGTTAAGAAATGTATACATACATCTGAAGGGTAATTTAAACATTGCTATTAAATACAAATATGGAGAAGAGCAAGAATAAAATTCCCTATATACATTCTACTGGTTCTTTTAAAACGAATTTCTTTTCTTTTTATTTTATTCGATGAAGGGTATACAGCCGTTAACACTTCGGACTGCAGACAAACCAGCAGGAGAGGATGTGCGTAAGATGCGGGGAGAACAAACATTCGAATGACCTAATTTCAATTCGATATAAATGCAACTAAAATCAGAGCAATTTCGCTGTTTCGATGACTCAAGCTATTGCCGCTGCCTACTGTAAACTGTTCCGCTTATGAAATGTGTAGCACCACTGTTAAAAGACTCAGTGGTGCAGCACGTGAAATACGCGCCAAAACAGCTGTGTTTTATTCTTTTATGATTTTAAATATTTTTGGCGCCCAAAAGTCTGCAGCACATTTGACAGCACTAATAAACTATCGATATATTTACTAATATTGCTTCTTGAAGCTATCGATAGTGGGCATTATTTCAGTTCGCTGGCGAATGTCAAAGGCAAACGCTGTCAATGTTTTGTTAAATATTTATGTTTAACAATGTATCCGCAAAGCTCACAAAAACGTTCTTGGACTTTTGCAAACGAAGCTCAACTACATGCATTCCGGGTGGAGCAAAACACCAAATACATCGAGGAGCATCGAAGTGAAGCGCCATTGCAAGACAACCTCGAAAATTACTTTCTAACGCCGGCTGAAGAGAGCCTGTTGCTAAAGCAGTATGAAATTTATCTCGTGGAATTTTGCCGGCGTTTCGAGCCAACCATGCCGAAATGCGTTATTGGGACTGCATTTCATTACTTCAAGCGCTTTTACTTAAATAATACACCGATGGACTATCATCCCAAGGAAATATTGTGAGCATCAAATATTTGTTAATATATGTATGTACATGCATATTTTTGTTACAATTATTACTTGTTTTCCTTTTAGAGCCACTTGCGTATTTGTTGCCTGTAAGGTGGAGGAGTTTAATGTATCTATCAATCAGTTTGTTAACAACATAAAAGGCGATCGCAACAAGGCCACAGACATTGTGCTCTCAAATGAGCTACTCTTAATTGGCCAACTTAACTACTACCTCACAATACACAATCCGTTCCGCCCGATTGAGGGTTTCCTAATAGACATCAAGGCACGAAACGCAATGCTTCTATTTTAACTATCCTTTCAACTCAAACGTTTTCTAATCATTCGCAGACTCGCAGCAATATGCAAAATCCAGAACGTTTGCGTCCGCAAATAGATAGCTTTATCGACTCGACGTTCTTTACGGACGCATGTCTGCTGCATACTCCATCGCAGATTGGACTGGCGGCTGTGCTGCATGCGGCCAGCAAGGAGCAAGAGAACCTGGACAGCTACGTCACAGACCTACTATTTGTGTCAGCGCGCGAGAAGCTGCCGGGTCTGATCGATGCAGTGCGCAGTAAGTAAAATGTAAAGCGCAACTGGACGCCTCTAAAACCAAATTAATAATTTCAGAAATACGTATGTTAGTAAAGAATTATCAGCAACCAGATCGGGAGAAAGTTAAGGCTATTGAAAAGAAATTGGACAAGTGCCGCAATCAAAACAATAATCCCGACAGCGAACTGTATGATCCCAGATGCCATCCCCATATATATTTGTATATTCATTATCGTGCATTTATTTATAGATACAAGGAGCGTTTACGTCGCTTATACACGGATGAAGATGATCTGCCCGCCGAGGATGGTTCCTTTCACATAGCCGATGTCAGCTCAGATGCCTCCGCTATGAATATCAGCCAATAAAGTTTGCTAATTTATCTATGAAATTACAATACTCTAAATGAATAATTCAACTGAAGGAAGCAATGTACTGTATTTAAATATTGTCCGTTAGGTTAAACCCAGTTTCGTATTTGTTCGGGCCTAGTGCTGAAAGCATCAGGCTCATCCGAAATGGTCCCATCTGTTCTTTCTGAGAGAGGAGTATAACACATTGCTCCTGGTAACTGGAGTTTCAGATATTTTAGCTGATTATAAATTGAAGTATTCTGATTACTCTAGCCGATATATCGACTAAAAATATATCACATCTTTTGAAAACCATGTTTTCTTTTAACAACAATACAAACGTACAAAAACATTAAATTGTCAGCTTGAAATACGAATAGCAACTTTTTTCTTTCTATTGCACTCTCAATCGATATTTTTCAAACATTCCGCACTGATAATAATTAGTAGTAGCTGCAATCGATGTTTTATATGCGATACTAATATATATTAATCGTGGTGGCAAGCTTATGAAAGTTTGATTGGCAGCGGCAAAACAGCTGATAAACTTTAAAAAGAATCTGAAATGAATGTTTTGTTTAAGTACCGCTATAGTTTTTTAGCCGGCGCATGCGCTGCCGGCGGCAGCTTCTTTGGCAAGCTGCCCAGTTTTCTCAGTGCAATGAACCTACTACAGGTTGATGCAGTACAACCCGCCGGCTATGCATATCTTGGTAAGTATTTGCAATGATCACCTAATAAATAATTGCTTATTATTTATATTTTTTAGAATTTGCGCTAGTCCAAGTGTTCCCCCTTGGCCTCATGTTATTTTGCAATGTGTGCAATCTACGCTACTTTCTGAAGGCCTTGCAAATGACCCAACAGACGCTGACAGCAACTGTCCTAACTGCTGCCTCCAATTACGTGTTATCAGTACGTTTATAACTGCATATAGAAGTGAGTTATTTATTAACCCAGCCAATTTTTGTTTAGTTTATTCTAGGTGCTCTAGTATATCGGGAACCGCTGACAGCATTATCCGGCGCTGGCATCGCTCTCATATTAACCGGGCTCTGGTTCCTATGTGATACTAAAACGGACGCGAGCCGGCCGGTAGATGAGGAAAAACAAAAACAAATCTAGTCAATTTGAAAGACAGCGTTCTAGCTATAAGGCAAAATATTCTTTACTTAAATAGGTTTTTGTTTAATGTCACTATTTTGCATATAAGTATATAATTAGTTTCTTCACATAAGTCGGGCATAATGTATTTATCTTTTCATATACAGCACTACATTCGCATATTTCAATTAATTCATATGCGCAGACTTGAAAAAAAAAAAAAAACATTGTAAATAAAATTGGTAGTAAGAGCACAAACTATAAATATATTTGTTTATAGTAAATTACATAAGTTGCGTTTCCTTTTCATATGTTCATCATCCATTCGCAATATATTATATTAATTCATTAAATATAATTTGTATGTTTCAAAATTGTAATTTAATCGCTAAGACGTATAAATACTTTTATTTTCTGTTTATGTTTCCATCTACTTTCTTCTCCTTGGCAAAGTTGTTCGCACTTTTCCAAGCTCCTTTTCTCCCTTTTTCTGTTCGCCTTCATTTTACAGCTGTTTGTCCAGTGCCCATGCACAAATTTGTATTATTTATTGTTTACTTTGTGTCTTCGTTTTGCTGTTGGGTTTTAAAAACCCTTTGCAWTTTTGTTTGTTTGTTTATTTTTAAGTTTCCTGTATGGTTGTGTCGCAAGTGTTCTAGAAACTAGATTGTTGTGTTTGTTTTTATTAATTATTAATTAAATAAATCATAATTATATAGAAACATTAAATTGTATTTATAAAAAAATGCGCAAACAGTTTTTTCATTACGTTTCTATTCTTTCTTTTTCTTTTTTTTTTTGGATCTTTTCACGTTGCTGACTAACGGTAAATTATA